TGATGTTACTGCACTAGCTGAGAGTCACTGCTGTTTAAGGAAGGTGGGGGCGCGTTGCTCCCTTTGGGTATGCAAGTGTCTGTCTCAGGTGTGCAATGAGGTGGTGTCGCTGCGGGGAGCTCGAGGCGTGACCCAGGGCTGCTGACGGCTCCAAGGTTCATTCCCAGGAGGTGCTGCATTCAAATGGCCCCTAGTGAGACTGTGACCCTACGGGGGCTGACACATGGAAGGGGCCCTCCCAGGGACTGCTCCAGAGCGGCTCTAGAGCACCGCACCTGAGGCTCTGTCACAAGGTGGGCTTCAGATCACTAGAGACTCTCCCATCAAACAGCAGGAAAAACAGGGGCTCACCTGTCACTGGGATGGAGACGGAGCTGCTGTTCCTAGATGAGATCTCTCGATTGGATTCCTGTCTCCAATACGCACAGGTGTAGTTCCCAGCATTTCCCTTCTCAGCTGCGAGCTCCAGCCGGGCGCTGTTATTCGGGTGTAGGACTGCGCTGGGATCTTGCTGCCCTTGATAGAAGAATCTGTATCCTGAAACCTGCTCACTCCCAGGAGCCGAACACGTGAGGGTAACCCGCTCCCCTGGGAGATACACTGCATATCCGGGGTCCTGAGAGAGCGTGGGGGCCGGCGGGGGATCTAGAACAGAGGCAGAGGGGTCAGTGCAGAGGGAGAGGCCATGATGGAATAAGGAGAAGGGGGAAGAGAGGAGTCCTGGAGAGACATGATCGCAAACCAGCCTCATCTCACTCCCCAGCACCCACCCCCACGCTGTAAAATACACCACGGCAAATAAAACACGGCTCCTCTCTCTCTCTCCCCCCTATGGGATCTTTTCATAGACCCCAAGGCCAGAAGTGACCATTGTGATCATGGACTCCGACCTCCTGTGTCACCCAGGCCCTAGGACTTCCCTGAACTGGTTCCTCTGTGAACTAGAGCAGATCTCTGAGAGAAACATTCAGGTTTGATTCAGAAATCGCCAGTGCTGGAGAATCTACCTTGACCCCGGGGAAATTGTCCCAGTGGTGAATTCCCCTCACTGCTAATATCTGCACCTTATTGCCAGTCTGAATTTGTCTTGCTTCAGCTCCCAGTCTTAGGGTTGTGTTTGATTTTTGTCAGTTCAATTGAAAAGCCGTCGATTATCAAATTTCTGTTCCCCAGATACGAACCTTCTTGTTGTTAGGCTAAACAGCTTTGGGTCCTGGAGTCTCTCACTCTAAGGCAGGTTTTGCAACTTTTAATCAGAATCCAAGCCCTGCCTTGCCCCCTCTCCAATTGATCACCATCCTTGAATGGTGGAGATCAGAACTGGACGCAGGATTTCAGCAGCGGTCGCCCCAGGGCCAAATCAAGGGGTAAGATGGCTCCTCTCATCCTGCCATCTTTGTATGTCATGGACATTCGTGCATGTGCCATCACCCCACCCCTGAGGCAAGAAGGAAGAATTATCCCCCTTCTAAGTGGGGGAACTGAGGCCCAGAGTGCATCAAGCACTTAAAAGAGCTAGGCCCCTAACAAATTTCAATGGGATTTTGGCACCAAACACCATTGGTCTCCTTGTAGATCCCCAAGGGAAATGACTGGCCCAAGATCACGGGGAGAGTCTGTTGCAGGCTGGGAACTGGACCCTCTCCAAGTCCCAGTGCACTGTCAAATTGTCAAGGCACATCTGGCTCAGGGCTTCCTATAATGTCTACCATGGCACTACCTAGCAGTATAAATTGGACCCAGACCCATTGAGATCCAGTTCAGTGTCCAAACCACACATCCAATCTGCCACCGCTGGGGTTTCTCGGTTGCCGATCGCTGTTGTGTCTAGATGGGTGACCAACTCCCGGCTGCTCTAGGAAATAAACCCTTGTGGAGATTTTGCCAGGGAGAAGTAGCTGAGGACCAGGGATGGGGAGAGCGTTTGATGGTCCTTGTACAGCCCCCAAGATCCCCATGTTCTCTCTCCAGATGTAACTGGGCAGAAGGTGGAAACCTGAGGCTGGGGGCCGGCAGGGAGTCTGGAATAGAGGCAGAGGAGAGACCGCCATGGAGTGAGGGTGTAGTGGAGTGGTCACCCCGCTCCAGCCCTGAAGGGGTTAAAGCAGCCCTGGAGAGGGCTGTGGCTGGAAAAAGCTAGGCTGATTGGAGAAGCAGCCACAGCTGAGGCTATGCCCCAACCAGGCCCCAGCTGGCCCTATAAGAGGGCTGAGGGCCAGAGGCTGTAGGAGAGGCTCTCTCCAGAAGCTAGAGAGCGAAGGACCTGGCTGCTGGGAGCTGAGGTGGGTACCTAGGGTGGAGCAGTGCTGGGGAAGGCAGAGGGAGCTGGGGAGCTCCAGCCTAGCTAAGTCCCAGGCTGAGTTAAGGGCCCACAACAAGGGCACTAGGGCTGCAGAGGGGCTGCCCAGGAATAGGCAGACGCAGCTGGTCCAACCCCCCTTGCGGATGAGGAGTGGGTTACAGATGGCGTCTGCCCCAGGGAGCGGGGGCTAGATGGAGACTGGCAGTAGCCACTGAGGCAAGGTGGCGAAAGGGGTTTGGGGGTTCCCCTGGGAGGGAAGTTTGTGGTTAGCTGCTAAGGGGCAGAACCCTGATGTAAAGGACAGTGGGGTCTGGGAGGGACATGGGGTCCAGGGGCAGGCGAGACACTGGCCTGCAGAGGTTGCTCCAGAGGGTGGAAGAGCTAATTCCCGAGATGACCAGCAAGAGGCGCTGCAGGGGTGAGTCTCACTTCGCTACAGAGGGGAAGAGCAGGTGGGGGAACAAGGCCCCAATACAGGGCGTCAGCCTAATCCCACCTCCTTTTGTTCTGCCCCATGACTGTGAAATAACCCACAGCAGATATACACGGGGGAGCTCACCAGTAAACCAGTGGGGACAGAGCCCTCTTCCCAGTACCTGCTGGGCCCAGCACAGCATAGCTGGATCCTCTCCCAGTGGCTGAGCCCTACACCCACCCCATCTGGATGGGAGATGAGCCGGGGACAGCTGGGATTGGATACCACCGGAATGAGCAGCCTCCGGTCCCTGCTGGACTCTCCCCTCCTTCCCGAGGGGTGTTGGAGTCTCAGCCAGTAACATGCTCATGCTGGGGAGTCATGGGGCTGGGTTCTCACTGCCACACATTCTCCACACTGGGGGAAGTGGGGTGCAGAGAGGGGGTTGAATGGGGCAGGGTTGTTGATGCAAATGGTTCAACCGAAGACCCTCATTCCCATCAGGGTATTCACCCCACATCCTCCATCTGGGGGAACGAAGTGTAAGTGGGGGGGAGAACCCATCAGCCGACCTTCAGACCTGCCTAGCTGTAGCTAGAAGTCATGAAAGAGAAATGAGGAAGTTCAGGCGGATGTGGGGAAGGGAGGGGGGAGTTTTCCACCCACTGTGTTTCCTCTGGGGTCTCTGCAGAACCTGCTTTTAATATCCCACTGGGCGGTGCTGGGTCTGTGCCCCCTGGCCCTGAGTCCACTGTGGGAGCCCAGAGCTGGGGTAGGGAGAGCTCCCCCCTCCACACAGCCCCATCCCGCTGGAGCCCTGTCTGGGGGGGACTCAGTGTAACGGGGAGGTGGGTGCTCTGTCTCCATGACCCATCCAGCCCTCGCTCTCTCTGCTGAGGCTGCCAATGAGGGGCTGGGTATCTCTCATGGGCATCACGGCATCTTTCCCCCTATGGCCTGGGCTGGGACCCAGCAAAGGGAGGCATCAGCTGGGGTCTCTCTTCCACCCCCAGGGACATAGCTCCGGACCGGAGCTGCTGCTGCAGGGACAGGTTCCGCAGGAGATGCCTGTGAATGGGGCGGCCCGACCCAGCCAGGGGATGACACGGGCGCACCCAGGGATCCCCCCTTCCTTTGAATTCCACACATCACAGTGTGGGAGGAGGGGGATCCCCACCCCCCACTGCCTGAGACCTCCCCACCCCCATCGCGAGCATCTCAGCAAGGACAGGAGACATCGTTACCTGCAGGGGTCACCGGCCTGGGGAGATTCAGGAGAGGGGCTGGAAGAGAAGAGAACAGAGGGAGTTAGAGCTCTGGGGAGGGGATGGGGGGTGTATGAGGATGGAGGGATATGGGACGGGGGTATCACTGGACAGACACACAGAGGGATGGGGGCTGAGGAACGTCCCTTACCCAGCAGAGGCAGAAGGAGAGTTAGCGCCATGCTGAGCTGGTCGTTCTGGGCTCGGAGCTGGGTTCTCAGCTCAGCCACCGGCCCTGTCTGGGTGCAAGAAGAGGGAAGGGCCCCTCCTCTCTGACGAAGGCAGAGGAAGTCAAAGCCTCAGGCGTGGTCACTGCTCAGATCAGGGTCTGGAGAGACACTGGCACCTGGTGCGTAGGGCGTACATAGGGGAAGTGGCCATTTATCAGAGCTGACAATTGGTGTGGGGGTGGGGCAGCAGCCGCAGGTTTCTGACACCCCCTGGGGTGAGCCAGGGATTCAGCTGGTGCAAAGGAACCTCAGATGAGTTACACTGGCTCACACCCGCTGGGATCTAGCTCTAATGACTCCAGTGGAGCTACGGCCCATTGACACCCAGCAGGGATCTCGCTCATTCACAGCGAAGACTCGGAAACCAGCCCTCTGGTCCTGCTGTGGCCTTGGGGTGTGTTTTAATCTAACATTTGGAGGTTCTGCTGCAGCGCAGGGAGCTTAGCACATACGGGGAGTGACAGGGCTGGGGAGGGTTTCCAGTCCCTAAACCCCGACCCCGTGTGATGGGTATTGACCCCACACTGTCACTGAGAGGGGTAACGGGAGCTGGAGGATGGGCCCAGCCCAGTTGGAGATGGAGCCCAGCTGGGGAAGGGCTGGGCAGTGAGCAGAAAGGGAGGCAGCCCAGACGAGATGGGGGGGCTGTGGGGAGAAGCTCTCCCACCTCTCTGGTTGCTGGAGGCTGGAGTGAAGGTCCAGAGAGAAGCATCTGTGCAGACAGCCCAGGGAGGAGCTGGGGAAAGGGCCAGGAGGGAAGCCAAGGTAGGAAGGAGTCCGTTTATTGATCCCTCTGCCGCTATTGTAGTTAGCCGACCTTCCCCAGCAGTCTCTTGGGATCCCTTCTGCATAGTGTACCCACAGGGGAGCGGGTTATCCTGAGGTGTGAGGCTCCTTGGTGTGAACTGGTGTTGGGGTACAGATCCTTCTATTCAAATAGGCAGCAGCTCCCCAACATAGTCCCAAATGCAGGAGCCCGGATGGAGCTCACGGCAGAGAAGCGAAACGCTGGGTCATGAACCAGTGCGTACTGGAGATGGGAATCCAATGGAGACATCCTATCTAGAGACAATGCCCCCATCTCCACCACTGTGACATGTGAACCCCCTTTTCCTGCAGTTTGATGGGAGAGTTGCTGGGAATCTGAAGCCCACCTGAACATCCCAGTTTCTCCCCCTGTTTCTAGTCAGTGCCACTCCCTGCATCTCAGATACTCTGTGGTGGGCTTAGGGATCCCATCTCACCAGTAAAGACTGCGCAACCACTAGGCACTTCTGTGGGGAAGCTCACAGTGCTGGGCTCAAAGCCTTCAGCAGGTCCAACGTTCAGGACAGGCAGGATATAAGTAGCAAAGGCTCAGGAGGCCCTTGGGCAGGGGCTCAGCATCAAACTGTCTGGGAGGCTCAGGCCATGGGCAGGGCAGTGAAGGTTCAGGGATCAGGCCCTGCTGCAGAGCAGAGCATGGAACAGTCTGGGAGGCTCAGGGCTTGGGCAGGACAGAGCAGTGGATAGTTTAAATTCCTGGCTCTGGCGGACGGGAGGCTAGCACAGGCCTCCTGTCCTTGGTGGGAGGCTGCCCCCTCCAGGTGGGGTTGTCAGCAGGGCATAGAGGAACCGGGGCCCAGCTGACTCCACCATCTCCCAGCCTAGGCCCTAACGGTGGTGCAGTGCACTGCCACTGGGTCAGCAGGGAATCCAGCCGTAAGACGCTGACTGCGTTCACACAGCAATGCAGCCAGACTGGAGTCGCTCCCCTCCCTTCGG